GCAGGATGGTCTTAGGCGACCTCTGTGAAAGGGTCGTTTGACCGCCAAAAGCGTTGGGACCCACAGGTTGAGAACCGCAGCCCTAAACCATCACTGACAAGTTCCGAAGCAGTGAACCTCAGAAAAGGAGTTTGGGCAGATGGCATTGGCAGCGAACTCAGAACCCACTTCTGAGTGTGACCTGGGTAAACCCCTGGCTGCCTCGGGTCCCACACTCGGTGGAGATGAAGACTCACAAGTTAAGGGTGTTGACTGGGAAGGGCACAGGCTGGAAGCCTCCAGCACCACGTGCTTTTACATGAACATCAGGCCCTCCCTGCCTCCAAGGCCCTGTGTCATTTGCGTTGCCCATGTGAGGGCCCCAGCAGGTGGGGCTGATGGTAAAAATGCTGCCGGTAACATCAGTGGTGACCCTGCAGTTTCTGTGCAGGAAACTGTGCTAAATGCACTCCCTCCACAGTTCACCCGTCCACAGGGAAGAAATCTCAGGGCCCAATTTTCCCTCCTGGCCCCAGTGTCCTGGTTGGCCACACACTCCCAGGAGATGACCAGAGCCCAGAAGTCCCGGAATGATGCTCCCTGGAGCCGGACACCTTCCTCCCCTAGGGGTCAGCCTCGCTTTCACATGGGCAAGGGACACCCCTCTCCAGGGATGTCCACTTCCTCATTCCTAGTGGGTGGTTAGGAGCCTGGAAGTCTTACCCTTCAGCTCCCCCCACATGCACCCACCCACTCATTCCTTCCCAAGGCACCGGGATCCCCAGCTCCTCCACGAAGCCTAGTGTCCTTTACAAACATTCCCCATGCACATGCTCTAAGTACAGTCTGACATCAGAATCTTCCCTAATTCCTCCCCTTCCCACAGCCTGGGGTTCTATGAACTGACCTTTCCCTTCATCCGTCCCTGAGGCCAGAGAGGGGACCACCTGGGGGACAGCAGAACCTGGGTGAGCAGGGGCATAAGGGGCCTCTTCCAGAGCCCTCCAGAGACTGCCTATGCAGTTGCCTGTGATTGGGGTGCACAGACTCACAGGGAGACATACCGACACCACAAGCACAGAAACATGCAGGTACAGGACGCCCCCTGCCACAGCTGGGCACTGAACTGCAGGGCTCATAGTCAGGCTCACACAGATACAGACTGCAGACACAGGGAACACCTTGAGGGGAACACACACACACACACACACTGGACACACACATAGAAACAATCAGTGTCATACACACAGTATCACAGGACACACACACACACACACACAATGGACACACGGGCCCGCACACTAGAGCAGACATACAGGGACATAGAACACAGACATAAAGAGAACACAATACACACATCAGGAACACCCAAAGGGACAGCCAATTCACACATACAACCAACAGGCAACATGCAAAACAAACACTCCCCCAAATGCTGAGTCATACTAACTCATGGTCTTGAAGGAAACATGAAGATTTCAGGTGCTGCCCTGGCCAGGCGGCTCAATCTCTTGCAGCTTCATTTCATTCGCCCCCTTCAATCAAAGGGCATGTTCGGCTCCTCGTGAGGGCGCAGATCAGGTTGTGTGTTTGATCTGCTGCCCGGCATTTATGGAAGGCAACAGGTCTATGTTTCCTCTCACATGGATGTTCCTTTTTTTTCTCTGTGCCACTCCCTCCCTCTCTTTCTCAAAGCAATAAACATATCCTCAGATGAGGATTACAATTTTAAAAAACAATTAAGGGGCCCTAGCTGGTTTGGCTCAGTGGATAGAGCATCAGCCTGTGGACAGAAGGGTCCCAGGTTAGATTCTGGACAAGGCCACATGCCCAGGTTGTGGGCTCGATTCCCAGTAGGGGATGTGCAAGAGGCAGCTGATAGATGTTTCTCTCTCATCGTGTATGTTTCTATCTCTCTCTCTCTCTCCCTCTTCCTTCCTCTCTCAAATCAAAATACTTTTTTTTATAAAAAGAATTAAGGGGTTGAGCCCTAGCTAGTTTGGATCAGTGGATAGAGCGTCGGCCTGGGGACTGAAGGGTCCTGGGTTCGATTCTAAGCAAGGGCACATGCCTGGGTTGTGGGTTTGATCCCCAGAAGGGGGCGTGCATGAGGCAGCAATCAATGATTCTCTCTCATCATTGATGTTTCTATCTCTCTATCCGTCTCCCTTCTCTCTAAAATCAAAGAAAAAATATTTTTTTAAAAATTTATAGTTTCACATTGCAAAGAATTCAGTTGAGTCATTGAGGATTGAGTGAAATAAATAAATATATCTTAGATGCTGTACTAACCTATTGTTAAAATAATTTCATTTTAAAAATTGGCAAAAGATTCTGACCAGACATTTCAACAAAGGAGACAAAGACAGTGTAAAGAATTGCTTAAAAAAACGTTCAGCATAAAAATTTATTAGGGAAAAAAATTTTTTAATTTATTAGGGAAATGGAATTAAAACAAAGCAAGTTAACACTATATTCATTTCTTGGCCTATTATTAAAAAGATTAAACATCACATGTGCTGGCAGGGTTGTGGAAAAACTAGAATTTTCATTACTGTACGTGGGTGGAAAGCCAAAGGGAATGACCATTTTAGAAAACACTTCTGCATATACTAACAGGTAATACATTCGCCTACACTGCATCACTTTGATAAGTAAAACATAACTCTATAGATAGAATTGAAGGCAATATTCCCAGCAGATTCATTTTTAATATCCCAAACCTAGAAAAGACTAAAACCATTGACAGATCAATAGGAAAAATGGTTATTCACAGAACACAGTATGACTCAGCCATAAAAAATAATTAACTATTCACATAAGCATTCGTGTTGAACCTCAAAATACTGTGTAGCATGAAGGAAAGCAATATTTGTATACCCCTTATAGTGCTTCTGAAAATACCAAAAAATATGAAGTAATCTTAAAAAAATTAACTAGTCTTGTAAAGGAAGGAAAATCAAAGACTGCATTTAGGGCTGAGGAAGGGAGAAGGAGAGATTCCAAAAGGGCAGGAGGTAACTACAGGGAGTGGCGCAAGTAGGTGTAGAGCTGTTGGCTGGAAAACTACAATAATTTAAAAATAATAAAAAACAAGGATAAACTCTTCCCTGGCCAGTGAGCGTCAGGTGTTTGAGCACCATCCATTGCCCTAGAAGGTCACTGGTTCCATTCCAGCTCAAGGCACGTGCCTGCGTGGATGCCCTGTAGGTGAAGTGCAGGAGGCAGCTGTTTGATGTTTCTTTCTAATATCACCATTTCTCTCTCTCTCTCTCTGTTGCTCTCTCTGTTTCTCTCTCTCTCCCTTCCGTGCTTTGTGAAAAATCATTAAAGATATTTTTAAATATGTAAAATACTTACTTAGAAAAATAGAGTCAACTCTGTGTTTTGCATATTCACATCTATATGACTGGTTTTTCCCGAACCTGTATATGGGTGAGAGATAAGTTTGTCACATGTGACCATTTCAGAGCTTGATCCCTATGTCCCAGCTCACCAAATAGTACAAATATACCTCAATAAAGCCTTAAAATGTGCTTCCAAATAAAGGCCTAGATATCCCTGTCTTGTTAGAAAATTAAAATGACAACCCAATATGGGCTCTACCATTTCTCTCCTAATTTCCTGGGAGCACCAGCATTGCCTCAGTAGCAGCAAATATTGGCAAGAAGTGAAGACTATAGCCATCAGAATCAACAGGAATGCTGACTGGGTCACAAATGCCACATCCTGGGACTGACTACAGGATTACACTTCCTCTAGCTTTGATGTCTTGCCTGTTGAGCAAACCTTGAGGTGAAAACCTTAAAGAGGCCAGAAGAGGACAAAGACCCTTTAGATTATTTTCTCTAAAAATGACTTTAGCCACAGGAAACAGTGATGGAGGAACTGAGGATGCCTGTCCACAATGACCACACAGGTCACAGGTCCTTGGTCATTTGTGGGTAATGTTCAGAAGAGGTGCGATTCAATAATTCTCTTCACACTTTCCCACTCACTATGAATACAGGGTTTCTGACCCAGTTGTAGTTCAACCTAACCCTCAGAGTCTCAATACAAGCGACACCAGCCTACGAAATGTCATTCATAACGGCACAGGGCACCTTGACAGTATGTAATACACACTGTGAACAGATAATATAATTCCCATTGTTCACAGAAGCACAACAAAACCCCCACCCCCATCTTCAGGATGACCTCATACTTCAATAATAGGACACCAGGCAGCAAATGAGAACCACAAAGTCATGCCGGCTTTCTTTCGAGGTCTTGGGCAGCACTGCATTACAAGTGAATACGGGACACAGTGATTTTCTGACTCCACGCTTTGCCTTCGGAAACACAGCAGGTTGGGGATTCCCACAATATCTGTGCCCCTGTACATGGGGACAGATCCCAGTGTGCTTTCAGATCAAGCCTGGCAATGCATAGGACCAACAAAATGAAAGGTACTAGTACATGAGTAAAAGCACCTGGACAAAAAGATCATAATCCCAAGACATGTTAGAAAATTCAATGGGTTGCAGGTTGGTGAATTGGAACCTGAAACAATTCATCACAACATAAGGTGATGTCCTGAGAGAGGTAGCTCTACTTAGCTGAGGATTGGTGCGCAGGATGAACCCTCAATGAACTCCATTTCCTAGTCAGAAAGGAATGAAGATCCTGCCATGAGCTTGGAGTAATCACAGTTTCCTCAGGCAGAGGTGAGAACACAGAATTCCTTTTCCCTGACCACACAGGGGTTGTGACTGAGGCACCCTGTTCAGGTGAGCCAGGTGGTGGAGGTGAAATCGCCTCAGCCAGGAATACTCCCAGTGATTTCAATCGGGTAGTAGGTCCGAGCAGCTTAGCTAGTGCCATGCAGTTGTCTAAAGCATCACTTGTACTTGAAATTTTATGAGGAATCTAGGGGAGTGCATGTTGTGATAAAAGGGGTTTATGTTCCATTAAATGTGTATCAAAGAGACACCTTCAGAGTTGTTATTGTCAATGAGAAAAAGAAAGTATTCGGATCACATTTAAAGCTTTTCTCCATTGTGAACAATCAGGTGTCTAAGGAGGTGAGATTTTCTGCTAAAAGATTTCCCACATTCACTACATTCATGAGGCTTTTCTCCTGTGTGAACTCTCTTGTGTATAAAAAGGTTACCACGGCATCTAAAAGATTTCCCACATTCACTGCATTCAAAAGGTTTTTCTCCAGTGTGAACTCTCTGGTGTTCAGTGAAGTTAAACCTTCCCTTATAGGACTTCCCACATTCAATGCATTCATAAGGTTTTTCTCCAGTGTGAACTCTCTTGTGGTTCAAAAGGATATTATGTAATCTAAAAGATTTCGAGCATTCACTGCATTCATAAGGTTTTTCTCCAGTGTGAATTCTCTCGTGTTCAGTGAGGGCATACATTTGTCTAAAGGACTTCCCACATTCATTGCACTTATAAGGTTTTTCTCCAGTGTGAACTCTCTGGTGTACAGTGAGGTTGGACCCGTGACTGAAAGTCTTGCCACACTCACTACACTCATAGGGCTTTTCTCCAGTGTGAAGTCTGTGGTGTTGATTGAGGTTACTCTTATATCTGAAGGTCTTCCCACAGTCACTACACTCATATGGCTTTTCTCCACTGTGAACTTTCCTATGTCGAATGAGGCTAGAGATTCCTCTAAAAATTTTTCCAGATTTGTTACATGCATAATTAACTTCTCCCTTGCAGATGCTCTTTTGAACAACTTTCTGGTTGTGGCTGGCAGCATTTTCACATTGACCCCACTGTTTATGACCTGTTCCACTGAGAAGTTTCAGGGAAATCTCACTGCCACTGGGTGGCTCCTCAGTGTCGAGAGGGGCCTGGGGCTGGAGAAGCTCTGAGATGGCTGGCAAGTCTTCCTCAACCTCCCTCCTGGATGAAGGCAGCCCTGATAAGTAGAAGCTGCACCTGGTCACAAACGAGGCCCTGTCCATAGCTTCTTTCCAGGGCTTCTCTCCACTGGCTTCCCTCTGTTGCCTGCGAGGGTTTGCACTGAAACAGAAGTCTCTCACACGTGTGTCATTGAAGAAGGCTTTCTGCTCAAGGTATGCTGCCTGAGACTCAGTCAGGTGCAGAATGTCTTTGAACACAGAGAAACACCACTTACACACATGGGTCCTCTGTGTTGATGGCTCTGTCTTAGATGCTCTAACTTGTGACTTTACTTGTACAGATAGACTGCGCTCAGAACAGGCCTCCTCATCATCCGATTTATGCCCACAACCTGAAAACAGAGAAATGAGGAGGAACTGGATGTTGACTATGGTGATGAGGGAGGTTCCATTATAAAAATATGTTACATATCATACATGCATTCAAAGCATTTGTCTGAAAATAACCGATGTGCTGGCAGGATTTGTTAAAGGCTCCTGTGAAGTTCTTGGACTCAGAATATCACAAAACAATGAAAACCTCACCAGAAATGTGACACAAACATGGCAATCACCACATGGAATCAAAGCATGATCATCAGCTCCTTCTTCTGTTAACATTGTTCAGCAGAGCTTGTGTGCTGGTAACATGGGCAAGCTGTGCAGAATGTTGCTTATGTCTTATTCCAAGTAAAATTCAGTAGCAGGGGTTCGAGGACTACTTAAGCATATATGTGCACCTCATAACACATGTGCAGGTCCATGCATGAGATACTGCACAGAGATCAGTGCCTAGGGACAGGTGATGCAAAAAAGTGACAAAGGTGAAGGTAGCCCAAAGCCATGAAGTTACAGATGAAATGATCAGTCATCAAAATGTCATTAATAGTAAATAAAATTTAGAAATAAGGTGTGGACAAACGCATCTGCACCTAAATATGGTTAGACACAAGCGGGTTCCTGGTGTGATCTGAAAAAAGCCCTCATGTGATACCTTCCCGCAGTTTCCACTCAGTAGGGTCAGACCTCATCAGAGACCATCTTGCCAGTTCACCCTGAGAAAGAATACAGGGTTCAGAAAACCAAGATGGTGGCATAGGTAAACACCGGAGATTGCTGTCTAGCACAACCACTTCAAAAATACAACTAAAAGACGGAACGGACATCATCCAGAACCACAGGAAGGCTGGCTGAGTGGAAATTCCACAACTAGAAGGAAAGAGAAAAGCATACCGAGACTCAGAGGAGGTACGGTGCAGAAGTAAAGTACAGAAGTACGGATGCGCATGCGGAGAGGGCTGGCAGCTGAGGACAAGGTTGTCTTTTTCAATCGGGAGGGAGTCTCAAGCTCCCCACTGCTCTGAACTCCAGTTCGGGCGAGTCTCTGTGGAGCCAGACTCACATGGGAGAAACTGGACTGTCTGGCATTGGTCGGAACTCGAAGGCGGCTTTATCTCGGAGGTGCTTGCAGCGATTTCCGGGACACTGAGATTGGGGCCTCTGTGGGCAGGACTGAGAGCAGACATAACTGCTCGCTCTGCCCTGTTGATCCTCATGGACCCAGCCCCGCCCAAGCCACGGAGGTTCATGTAATTAAAGACAATAACCTGGCACAGGCTGTCACAAAGAGCCTTACGTAGATGAATGGTGTAGAAGTGGAAGCCATGAGGACATAGTCACCTTCCCAGGAAGAGAAAGTTCAAAGTGGGTCCCATTAAGCTCATTGCAAGAGTCCTGACTGCCAGTCACTTTTTACATTTTCTGAGGCAGTGGGTGTAAGGGATGCTTGGGGACTCCAGAGATCAGGACTCTCCACACAGCTTGCCTCTGGCAGCCACAGCCCATTTGAAAGGACAGTGGGGGATATTAGTAGAGCCCATGGTCTGGCTGTGAGAGCTACGTTTGGAGAATAAAGGAAGAGTAGACATCACCTCAGGACATTTGGAGAAACATGAAGGTCTTACCAGCAGATGAGACAAGTCCAAACACTTCCAGCATCACATTGCAGTAGAGAAGTCTCTGAGCCTCATCAAGGATCCCCCACTCCTCCTCAGAGAAGACAATGGCCACGTCCTCAAAGTTCATATTCTGTCATAAGGGGGACAGTTCAAGCCATGATAAGCTTTTCTCTTAGGATTTGAAGTTCTTCATACTTCCCACCCTCCACATCCATTTGCTCCCTCTACCCTTCATCAGACAAGACACCAGGCCTTGGGCCCATCAAAGTCACTCTCTCCCTATATTCCTACAAATACAGTTCCTACCACAACAATAAAGGCAGTTGAGCAGAGAGAAGATACCTCTGGGACTCACATGTAAGCCACACAACCTCTTGTCGACACAGTGGTTGTCACCACATAGGGAAGAGAGAGATGTTGGCCATAAAGAAAATGTGAATGATTTATCACTTATTTTGTCAGGCAATACTCTTGGTATCGCCCGTAAACTACCTCAGAGACATGAAAAAACATGGCCTTGTGCTTCACCCTTCTGACTCTGATACCATGGTGTTGAGGCCAATACCTTGCACTACCTGCTCAACATAATTCTTTGAACCACACTTCTCTCACACAGCTTCATTTCCAGGGGCACATCCTCAGAGCAACACAAATTTGCTGTCGCGAGAACACTTTATTTCCTCTTCATCTTCTCTTCCAAATGTCTAATTCACAGCCTGTGTAATGTGTTTCTCTCTCTTTCTATCTCCCTTCCTGATTCACTGCAAACATGCAAGCCCAGCTGGCACCAATATATGCTATCTCCTTCCCATTGATCAATGTGTCACCCCTCGACAACCATAGAAAGGTGTGCATCTATGTGACACCTCAGCTGTGCACCTGGCAGGTCTGACCACAACACCCCTATTTTCAGACAATTACACTAAAAATCCTCATATCATATCATATATCATATCAGCCAGTAACCACCAAAAATGGACTCACTCCGTTTTCACCCTTATTGCAACACCCAGTGTCCTGTGGCCATGAATTCACACTCCCTCTCCAAGGGCACATCACTCCATCTCCCACACCTCTCTCTCACCTGCATTCCCACACCCACAGCCCCCACAGTCATCTCCTTGACTTCCTACTCATTACTCAGCAGCTGTGGTGTAGTGACTGCTTGGCAAATTCAAACAGGAATAAGTTCTACACCAACTTTGAGAGTCCACACTCATGGAGGCAGCCTTGAGCCCTGGTATAAAGGCCTCACTCCCTGACTGTGTTTTCCTTCAACCTCAAATATTGAGAACCACATCACTTCTTAGATATCCAGATCCCACCTCCACCAGTGCTGCACATGATCTCCCATCCCCCGTCACAGCCGTCACCACTCAAGTATCATGGCCGATGGCCCTCTACCCCTGTTGTATTAAAAAACAGCGAGCTGGACAAGATTCCTTAATGAGCCTGTTAGGAGTCATCTCTATTGGGTGCAGGTTCAGACCAGAATACGTCCATCAAATTCTGAACAGCCAAAGGAGGAAATATTCTCTTTTATATCTTTCTTAGGCCCTTGTGTCAGTTATTTTTGTAGACAGCTTGTAACCTGGAGTACATATCATATCTACCAAACACCTGTCATATCTATAGAGACATCTGTTACCTTGAGTATCATATCTATACAGGCACCTGGCATCAATATCAGCATATCAGTTAGATGGCTAGCTTGCAAGGTCAGGCAATTAAGTTTATCTTTTCTATTCAAGCAACAAGCAAACTTATTTTACAGTCTGAAAATAACAGAGTTGACCTACAGAATAAGAGATTGTCTAAGCATCACAGTGTAGTTAGAACAGCAGTTTTCCAAAGGAGGGATTACTATGCTTCACCCCATGCCCAGTGAGTCTCATAGATGACCACTCATGCCCCTAAGCAAATCAACCAGACTGAGGGCAACAGCCCAGGCCACACCAAGGCTCACAGAATATTCCTGGTGAGTGTTGAATAAGTAAATATGCACCAGCACCAATCTCACCTTGTTTCCGTGGACCTAGGGCCTCAAATTAAAATAAAATGATGATCTACAACTCCCCTCTGGTCCAGGTGGTCTTCACTCCTTTTGAGTCATCTTCATCTTGAACAACTCCTCCGAGTTCCAGATGCTCTTTAACTGCTCTCTGAAATATCTCACACCCTAACAGGCCAAAATAAGTGTGAGTTCGTGTTTATCTGCAATGTACATGAATTTCCCACTATGAATGACTTTATGCGAGATGATGGTGCTTCCATAACACCAGATGCTAAATACAAACTTTCATCTCATCTCTGACTCTTACATCTCTCTCCCTCTCTCAACTTCAAAATTAGAAGTAGCCACATCTAAAATACCAATCCCTGATCCAACTGTGTCTTTTATCTCCAGGGCCACCACCAGGGGCCAGGTATCATCACATTCTGCCAGATGAGCACACCACCTCCCTATCACCCATATTGCTCTCCATGCTGCAGCCACAGGGCGTCTAATGAGACCTGAGTCAGATCACCTGCCTCCGCTGCTCCAAGTCTCCCTTTGCCCCCATCACCTGCAGAACAGACAACCGTGTTGTCACAAAGCTCCTCTACACCTGACTCCTCTCCCATTCTTACCGGTTCCAATTAAAGAGAAAAGCATTCGTACAGGCTCCTGAACCCGCTGTCTTCAGTCTGAGCCTCTGCCACATCGGGAACCTGTGCCTGGTAGGACCTCCCACATCTCATTCCACTGTTTGCCAGAAAACCATGGACCACTTCATCCAACCCTAGTCATGGACTTAATTCAGGGCTGAGAGTCTGCAGGTCACAGGGCAGGAAGAGAGGCTGGACAGACCCAGGACCCCACTAACTCAGAGGCCACAAGAGTCTGAGGCCCTGACATCAGTCCCACAGCCCAGGCCCCTCAGCGGCTCCTCACCTGCAGGAACCTGTAGGAACTAAAGGTCTGTTGACGGCCTGGCACCCAACCCCAGGATCCAGGGGCTCAGCTGCTCAGGGCCCTGGCCCAGCCCTGGTGCTGGGTGATACCTGCATTCCCCCGGGGCTCGGTCCTCAGTGCACACTCTTGCCAAGTTCCTTATCTTTCAAAGGACTTCTTAATCCAGTCAGTCACTACTATCCTCTCCCTCTAATGTGTTCTCATCAGCAGTTTGGGGAAATGTTTAGAACCCTACCTCAGACAACGTCCCTCTGCTGTTCACAACCACCCATGGCCCCAGCGTCCTGAGGATGAAAGTAAAACTCCTCACACAAAACTTTGCCTCATCTTCTTTGTTGCCTTTCAACACAAAACAGGCCTGGGTTTCCCGAGTCCTCACAGCTCAGCCACACACCCACGGCCTGACTGAGCGGCATTGCAGCCCGTCACCCTCTTTCACCCCATCACATGCCGTGTCACCTACTCACTCTTCTGGGTGCTTGAACGCGAGCTGCAGGGCCTGACAGCGTGGTAGGTGGAGGGTAAACGGGGTGAGGCTGAGTTAACCTCAGTGAGTGAGCAGAGAGGAGTCAGGGAAGCATGGAGACCTCAATCCCGCCTGCTGCAGGTCAACAAGCCTCAGACACTCCCTGCACAGCGGGGACGCTGCCTCTGACGGCTTGTCCTAGTCCTGATGCAGCCCGCTGGGCCGTCTAAGTCGATAGAACGAGGAGGTGAAAATGACCACCTGGAGGATTAATCTGGGAGTCAAGCCCAAACAAATGAGAGCCAGGCTCATGCGCCTCTCCTGGGCTTTCATTGGCTAAACGCAGCCATCATTAGGCGCATTGCCCTGTGGGTAAGGTACTTTCCAGACAGCGCAGGTGGCATTAGGATCGCAGTCACTGGCTGGCCATTGAGAATATTGGTGTTGGGGCGCCCGAATGGCTGTGGCAAATGACAACCTTAGGTTTTGGTGGCTGGTGGCAGGGTTATGGGGAGTGTTGTCTGCAACTGAGCTCTTTTTGGAGATATTATTTCAGATTCCATGAAGGTCAGAATGCTCTCTGTCGTAAATATTATGTCAATTATTCCTGCAGACCACAAATCTAATTGGATATGTAGATAGTTCCCTTTTTAAAATTTTATTTTGAGAGAAAATGAGAGGGAGAGAGAAAAACACAGGTGGGGTGCCTCCTCCCCTCCCTTACCCACCGTCTGGGCATCCAGCCAGGAACCTGTCTTGTGGCTTCACCAGGAATGGCAACTTTTGTGTACTTGGGAGGAAATTCAAACAATGGAATCACTCAGGCCCTCAGAGTTCTTTTTTTATTATCATTTTATAAAATATATTTTATTGATTTTTTACAGAGAGGAAGGGTGATGGATAGAGAGTTAGAAACATCGATGAGAGAGAAACATCTATCAGCTGCTACCTGCAAACCCCCTACTGGGGATGTGCCTGCAACCAACGTGCATGCCCTTGATCGGAATCGAACTCAGGACCTTTCAGTCTGCAGGCAAATACTCTATCCAATGAGCCAAACTGGATAGGGCCAGAGTTATTATTTTTAACACAGAAATAGCATATTATTAAGAGAAAAATAAGGCTATGAGAGTATATACATAATTCTATCCTATTTACTTAAAAGAAATATTTGAAAGGACACAGAGGCCAACAAGTCGACATTTCCTACATTGTCTGCATGTCTGCAGTCAGCACACATTGTGCAGCTATGGCGCTAACAGTTACTGAATGTTCACTACATGTGCCAGGCCCTGCATTCAATGCTTTACCTGCATTATTATTATTTCACTCAATCCTCTCCACAACTTGAATCCTTTCAGGATCTATTTCATCAAGATGAAATCCAGACTCAGAGACTCGATGTAAGTTGCCTGATTGTAGAGTTTTAAAAGCAGAGCTGGAAGTCAAACCCATGTGTCTCTAATAACACAGCTATGGCTTCTATTGTTAGGTTCTGCTCCCTTCTAGAGGGTAGAATAGTGACGCATTCCCATTAGGACCAGCTAGATCTTATTATGGGTAATAAACATTCCCAAAGTTTTAGGGTCTTTTATCAAAAAAGGTGTCTTTCTTGTTCATACCCCATGTTCACCCTTGTTCTACTGAGACCAGGATAATGGAAGAGACCACCCATGTAGGTACTGCTGGGTGTTATTAGAGATGGACATAGGGAGGCCAGTCTCTGTGTTTCCAGACTCTTCTGTTAGAGGTCACAGGCTTCATTCCCAGCACGTTTCATTGGTCAGAGCTCATCACAGGCTGAAGTCAAACTCAGGTGGTCAGGAGGAGAACCTGACATACTTACTCGATGGGCCCCATTAACATGACCACGGGGTGCCCACCTCTTGTGGGGACTGAGCATGGCCAAGAAGAGGACTGGGGATGGGAAGGAAATGACAGTGGAAGTCCATCCGGACCGGTGCCTGTCTCCTCATCCAGGTGGACTTTGTCCCCAGGTTGCCCTAAACCACTGACTTTCAACCTTCTGGCCCTTTAAATAGAGTTCATGTTGTGACCCAACCATAAAACTATTTTCGTTGCTACTTCATAACTGTCTTATTGCAACTGTTATGAATTATAATGTAAATATCTGATATGCAGGATGGTCTTAAGCGACCCCAGTGAAAGGGTCGTACGACCGCCAAAGGGGTCGAGATCCACAGGTTGAGAACCACTGCCCTAAACCATCACTCTCAACTTCCAAAGCAGTGAACCTCAGAAAAGCATTTATGGAAGGCAACCAGTCCATGTTTCCTCTCACATGGATGTTCCTTTTTTTTCTCTGTGCCCCTCCCTTCCTCTCTCTCTCAAAGCAATAAACATCTCCTCAGATGAGAATTACAATTTTAAAAAAGAATTAAGGGGCCCTAGCTGGTTTGGCTCAGTGGATAGAGCATCAGCCTGTGGTCGGAAGGGTCCCAGGTTGGATTCTGGACAAGGGCACAACCCAAGTTGTGGGCTCGATTCCCAGTAGGGGATGTGCAAGAGGCAGCTGATAGATGTTTCTCTCTCATCGTGTATGCTTCTATCTCTCTCTTTCTCCCTCTCCCTTCCTCTCTCAAATCAATATAAATACTTTTTAAAAAAAAAGAATTAAGGGATTTAGCCCTAGCCGGTTTGGAACAGTGGTTAGAGCGATGGCCTGGGAACTGAAGGGTCCTGGGTTAGATTCTAAGCAAGGGCACATGCGTGGGTTGCGGGTTTGATCCTGGGAACTGAAGGGTCCTGGGCAGGCAATCAATGATTCTCTCTCATCATTGATGTTTCTATCTCTCTATCCCTCTCCCTTCTCTCTAAAATCAATGAAAAAATATTTTTAAAAAAATTTATAGTTTCACATTGCAAAGAATTCAGTTGAGTCATTGAGGATTGAGTGAAATAAATAAATATATCTGCAATAACATATAGTTAAAATAATAATTTCATTTTAAAAATTGGCAAAAGATTCTGACCAGACATTGCAACAAAAGACACAAAGAAAGTGTAAATAATTGCTTGAAAAAACGTTCACCATAAAAATTTATTAGGGAAAAAATTTTTTTAAATTTATTAGGGAAATGGAATTAAAAGAAAGCAAGTTAACACTATACTCATTTCTCGGCCTATTATTAAAAATATTAAACATCACATGTGCTGGCAGGGTTGTAGAAAACTAGATATTTCATTACTGTGGGTGGGTGGAAAGCCAAAGGGAATGATCATTTTGGAACACAGTTCTGCATATACTAACAGGTAAAACATTCATCTAAACTGCATCAGGTCCATAAGTAAAACAAATCTCTGTATAAAGAACTGAAGGCAATATTCCCAGCGGAATTATTTTTAATATCCCAAACCTGGAAATGACTAAAACCACAGACAGATCAATAATAGGTAAACTGGTTATTCACAGAACTCAGTATGACTCAGCCATCAAAAATAATTAACTATTCACATAAGCATTCGTGTTGAATCTCAAAATACTGTGTAGCATGAAGGAAAGCACTATTTGTATACCCCTTATACTGCTTCAGAAATTACTAAAAATATTAACTAATCTTGTAAAGGAGGAAAATCAATGACTGCATTTAGGCCTGGGGAAGGGGAAGGAAAAATTACAAAAGGGCAGGAGGTAACTACAGGGTGTGTCACATGTAGGTGTAGAGCTGTAGGCATGGAAATTACTACAATAATATAAAAAACAAGAATAAACTCTTCCTTGGCCAGTGAACCTCAGGTGTTTGAGCACCATCCTTTGCCCTAGAAGGTCACTGGTTCCATTCCAGCTCAAGGCACATGCCTGCCTGGATGCCCTGTAGGTAAAGTGCAGGAGGCAGCTGTTTGATGTTTCTTTCTAATATCACTATTTCTCTCTCTCTCTCTCTCTCTCTCTCTCTCTCTCTCTCTCTCCTCTCTCTCTCTTTGTGAAAAGTCAATAAAATTTTTTTAAATATGTAAAATACTTATTTAGAAATATAGAGAGCCAACTCTGTGTTTTGCATATTCACATCTATATGCCTGCATTTGCCTGAACCTGTATACGGGTGAGAGATAAGTTTATGTCACATGTGACCATTTTAGAGCTTGATCCCTATGTCCAAGCTCACCAAATAGTACAAATATACCTAAATAAAACCTTAAAATGTGTTTCCAAATAAAGGCCTATATAACCCTGTCTTGATAGAAAATTAAAATAACCCTATATGGGCTCTACCAACTTTCTCCTAATTTCCTGGGAGCACCAGCCTTGCCTCAGTGGAAGCAAATATTGGCAAGCAGAGAAAACTATAGACATCCGAATAAACAGGAATGCTGACTGGGTCACAAATCCACATGCTGGGACTGACTACAGGATTACCCTTCCTCTAGCTTTGAGGTCTTGCCTGTTGAGCACACCTTGAGGTGAACACATTAGAGAGACCAAAGAGGACACAGACCCTTTATTTTCTCTAAAAATGACTTTAGCCACATGAAAAAGTGATGGAGGAACGGAGGACGCCTGCCCACAAGGACCACACAAGTCACAAGTCATTGGTCTTTATGGGTAATGTTCAGATGAGGTGTGATTCACTTAATTCTCTGCACTCTTTCCTACTCACTATGAATACGGGGTTTCTGACCCAGTTGTAGTTCAACCTAACCCTCAGAGTCTCAATACAAGAGATACCAGCCTATGAAATGTCATCCATAATGGCACAGGGCACCATGATAATATGTGAGACAGATTGAACAGATAATATAATTCACATTGTTCACAGAAGCACAACAAACCTCCCAACCCACATTTCAGGATGACCTCAGAGCTCAATCATAGGAGGGAGCAGGCTGCAAATGAGAACCACAAAGTCATGCCGACTTTCTTTGAGGTCTTGGGCCAGCACTGCATTACAAGTGAATACGGGACAAACGGATTTTCTGACTCCAGGCTTTGCCTTCGTAAGCACAGCAGGTTGGGGATTCCCACAATATCTGTTCCCCTGGACATGCTGACAGACCCCAAGTGTGCTTTCAAATCAATCTAGGCCATGAATAGGACCAACAAAATGAAAGGTACTAGTCCATGAGCAAAAGCACCTGGACAAAAAGATCATAATCCCGAGATGTGTTAGAAAATTCAATGGGTTTTCAGGTTGGTGAATTGGAACCTGAAACAATTCATCACAGCATAAGGTGATAACCTGAGAGAGGTAGCTCTACTTAGCTAAGGATGGGTGCACTGAATGAACCCTCAATCAACTCCATTTCCTAGTCAGAAATGAATGAAGATCCTGCCATTAGCTTGGAGTAATCACAGTTTGCTCAGGCTCAGGTGAGAACTCAGAATTCCTTTTCCTTGACCACACAGGGGTTGTGACTGAGGCACCCTGTTCAGGTGAGCCAGGTGGTGGAGGTGAAATCGCCTCAGCTAGAAATACTCCCACTGATTTCAACCGGGTAGTAGGCCCGAGCAGCTTAGCAAGTGCCAAGCAGTTATCTAAAGCATCACTCCTTCTTGAAATTTAATGAGGAATCTAGCCGAGTGCATGTTGTGATAAAAGGGGTTCATGTTCTGTTAAAGTGTATCAAATGGTCCTTTTAGGTGTTGTTATTGTCAATGAGAAAAAAAGTATTTGGAGCACATTTACAGCTTTTCTCCATTGTGAACAATCAGGTGTCTAAGGAGGAGAGATTTTTGGCTAAAATATTTCCCACATTCATTACACTCATGTGGCATTTCTCCTGTGTGAACTCTCTTGTGCTTAAAAAGGTGATTATGACATCTAAAATATTTCCCACATTCACTACACTCATGAGGCCTTTCTCCTGTGTGAATTATCTTGTGCTGATGAGGGCATTCCTTCGTCTGAAGGTCTGCCCACATTCACTACACTCATAGGGTTTTTCTTCAGTGTGAACTCTCTGGTGTTCGGTGAGGGTATACCTTTGTGTGAAGGACTTCCCACATTCACTGCATTCATAAGGTTTTTCTCCAGTGTGAACTCTCTGGTGCTTAGTGAGGGTACACCTTTGCTGAAGGACTGCCCACATTCACTACACTCATAAGGTTTTTCTCCAGTGTGAATTCTCTTGTGGGTAAAAAGGTTACTATGACTTCTAAAAGATTTCCCACATTCACTGCATTCATAAGGTTTATCTCCAGTGTGAATTCTCTGGTGATTAGTAAGGGTAGTTCTTTGTCTGAAGGACTTCCCACATTCACTACACTCATAAGGTTTTTCTCCAGTGTGAATTCTCCTATGGGTAAAAAGGTGACCACGGCATCTAAAAGATTTCCCACATTCACTGCACTCATAAGGTTTTTCTCCTGTGTGAACTCTCTGGTGGTCAGTGAGGTTGTTCCTCTGACTGAAAGTCTTGCCGCAATCAGTACACTCATATGGCTTTTCCCCAGTGTGAACTCTCAGGTGCCGATTAAGAACAGAGATTTGCCTGAATGACTTCCCACAGTCACTACACACATAGGGCTTTTCTCCAGTGTGAACTCTGTGGTGTTTATTGAGGTTAGTCTTATATCCAAAGGCCTTCCCACAATCACTACACTCATATGACTTTTCTCCACTGTGAACTTTCCTATGTTGAATGAGGCTAGAGATTCCTCTAAAAATATTTCCATATTTGTTACATTCATATTTTACTCCCCCAAAGTAGAGGCTCTGTTGAATAACATTCTGGTTGTTGCTGGCAGTATTTTCACATTGACCCCACTGGTTATGATTTCCACTGCGATGTTTCAGGGAAATTTCACTGCCAATGTGTGGCTCCTTGGTGTCGAGAGGGGCCTGGTGCTCGAGAAGCTTTGAGATGGCTGGCAAGTCTTCCCCAACCTCCCTCCTGGATGAACGCAGCCCTGATAAGTAGAAGCTGCACCTGGTCACAAACGAGGTCCTGTTCACAGCTTCTTTCCAGGGCTTCTCTTCACTGGCTTCCCTCTTTTGCTGGCGAGGGTTTGCACTGAAACAGAAGCCTCTCACACGTGTGTCATTGAAGAAGGCTTTCTGCTCAAAGTCTGTTGCCTGAGACTCAGTCAGGTGCAGAATGTCTTTTAATACAGAGAAACACCGCTTACACAGATGGGTCCTCTGGGTTGCTGGCTCTGTCTTACACGACCTGAACTGTGACTCTCCTTGTACAGATACGCTCTGCTCAGAACAGGTCTCCTCGTCATCCGTGTTATGGCAACAACCTGAAAACAGAGAAATGAGGAGGAACTGGTTGTTGACTACGGTGATGAGGGCAGTTCCATTACAAAAATATGTTGCACATCATACATGCTTTCCACGCAATTGTGTGAAAATAACAGATGTGCTGGACAGGTTTGGAAAAGGCTCCTGTGAAGTACTGGAACTCTGAATATCACAAAACAAGGAAAGCCTCACCAGAAATATGACACAAAGATGGCAAGCACCACATGGAATCGAAGCAGGATCATCAGCTCCTTCTTCTGCTAACAGTGTTGAGCAGGGCTTATCTGCTGATGACATGGCAAAGCTGTGCAGAAGGTTCCTTATGTCTTATTCCAAGTAAAATTCATGAGCTGGCATTCTAGGACTACTTAAGCATGTATGTACACCTGATAACACATGTGCAGGTCCATGCAAGAGAATACTGCACAGGGAGCAGTGCCCAGGGACAAGTGATGCAAAAAAGTGACAAAGGTGAAGGTAGCCAAATCCATGAAGTTAAAGATGAAATGATCAGTCATCAAAACGCCAAAAATGGTAAAGAAAATGTAGAAATAAGTTGTGGAAAAACGCATCTGCACCTAAATATGGTTGGACACAAGCGGGTTCCTGGTGTGATCTGGAAAAAGCCCTCATGTGATACCTTCCCCCAGTTTCCACTCAGTAGGATCAGGCCTCATCAGAGACCATCTTGCCAGTTCACCCTGAGAAAGAACACAGGGTTCGGAAAACCAAGATGGCGGCATAGGTAAACATCGGAGATGGCTGCCTAGCACAACAACTTCAAAATACAACTAAAAGATGGAACAGACATCATCCAGAACCACAGGAAAACTGGCTGAGTGGAAATTCCACAACTAGAGAAAAAGAGAAAACCATACCGAGACTCAGAGGAGGTACGGTGCAGAAGTAAAGTACAGAAGTACGGGTGCGTATGTGGGGAGGGCTGCCGGCTGAGGACACGGTTGTCTTTTTCATTCGGGAAGGTGTCTCAAGCTCCCGACTGCTCTGAACTCCAGTCCTGGTGAGTCTCTGGGGACCCAGACTCATATGGGAGAAACTGGACTGTCTTGCATTGGTTGGAACTCAAAGGCGGCTTTCTCTCAGAGGTGCTTGCAGCGATTGCCAGGACACTGAGAAGTGGACCCTGAGGGCAGGACTGAGAGCAGCCACAACTGCTCCCTCTGCCCTGTTGATACCCTGGGACCTCGCCCCGCCAAGCCTCCGAGTTTCATGTAAGTAAATACAATAACCTGGCACAGGCTGTCACAAAAATCCTTACTTAGATGAATGGTGTAGAAGTGGAAGCCATGAGGACATAGTCACCTTCCCAGGAAGAGAAAGTTCAAAGTGGGTCCCATTAAGCTCATTGCAAGACTCCTGACTGCCAGACACTTCTTGCATTTTCTGAGTCAGTGGGTATAAGAGATGCTTGGGGAGTCCAGAGCTAAGAACTCCCCACACTGCTCGCCCCTGGCAGCCACAGCCCATTTGAAAGGACAGTGGGGGATATTACTAGAGCCCATGGTCTGGCTGTGAGAGCAATGTTTGGAGAATAAAGGAAGAGTATTTATCACCTCAGGACATTGGGAGAAACGTGAAGGTCATACCTGCAGATGAGACAAGTGCAAACACTTCCAGCATCACATTGCAGTACAGAAGTCTCTGAGCCTCATCAAGGAGCCCCCACTCCTCCTCAGAGAAGACTATGGCCACGTCCTCAAAGTTCATAGTCTGTCATAAGGGGGACAGTTCAAGCCCTGATAAGCTTTTCTCTTAGGATTTGAAGTTCTTCATACTTCCCACCCTCCACATCCATTTGCTCCTTCTACCCTTCATCAGATAAGACAGCAGGCAATCGGCCCATCAAAGTCACTCTCTCCTTATATTACTACCGATACTGTGTCTTCCCACAACAATAAAGGCATTTGAGCAGAGAGCAGATACCTCTGGGCCTCACATGTAAGCCACACAGACTCTTGTTGATACAGTGGGTGTCAACAAATAGGGAAGAAAGAGATGTTGGCCATAAAGAAAATGTGAATGATTTATCACTGCTTTTGTCAGGCAATACTCTTGTTATTGCCCCGATTCTCCCTCAGAGACATGAAAAAACATGGCCTCAGGCTTCACCCTTCTGACTCTGGTACCATGGTGTTGAGGCCATCACTTTGCACTGTCTGCTCAACATAATTCTTTGAACCACACTTCTCTCACACAGCTTCATTTCCAGGGGCACATCTTCAAAGGCAACACAAATTTGCCATGGCGTGAACACTATATTTCCTACTTACTTTCTCTTCCAAATGTCTAATTCACAGCCTCTGTAATGTGTTGTTCTCTATTTCTGTCTCCCTTCCCCATCCCACTGCAAACATGCAAGCCCAGGTGACACCAATATATGCTATCTCCTTCCCATTGATCAAAGTGTCAGCCCTCGACAACCATAGGAGGTGTGCATCTATGTGACACCTCAGCTCTGAACCTGGCCGGTCTCACCACAGCACACCTATTTTCAGACAATTACACTAAAATTCCTCATATCATCTCATATCATATCAGCCAGTAAGCACCAAAAATAGACTCATATCAGCCAGTATTCTCCAAAAATGGACTCACTCCTTATTCACCCTTATTGTAACACCCAGTGTCCTGTGGCCATGAATACACACCCCCGCTCCAAGGGCACATCACTCCTTCTCCCACACCTCTGCCACCTGCACTTCCACACCCACAGCCCCCATAGTCACATCCTTGACTCCCTACTCATTACTCAGCTTGTGTGGTGTAGTGACTGCTTGGCAAATTCAAACAGGAATAAATTCTACACCAACTCTGAGAGTCCACACTCATGGAGGCAGCCTTGAGCCCTGCTATAAAGGCCTCACTCCCTGATGGTGTTTTCCTTCAACCTCACCTATTGAGAACCACATCACTTCTTAGATATCCAGAGCCCACCTCCACCAGTGCTGCACATGATCCCATCCCCAGTCACAGCCCTCACCACTCAAGTCTCATGGCCAATGGCCCTCTACCCCCGTTGTATCGAAAATCAGCGAACTGGACATGATGCCTCAATGAGTCAATGAATTTGGACTCTATTGGATGCAGGTTCAGAGCAGATTACCTCTATCAAATTCTGAACACCCAAAGGAGAAAAAATTCTCTTTTTATATCTTTCTTAGGCCTTTGTGTCAGTTATTTTTGTAGACAGCTTGTAACCTTGAGTAAATATCATATCTAGCAGACACCTGTCATATCTATACAGACACCTGTAACCTTGAGTTTCATATCTATACAGGCAACTGGCATCAATACCAGCGTATCAGTGAGATGAGTAGCTTGCAAGGTCAGACAATTAAGTTTATCTTTTCTATTCAAGCAACAAGCAAACTTATTTTACAGTCTAAAAATAACAGAGTTGACCTACAGAATAAGAGATTGTCTAAGATTTACAGAGTAGTTCAAACAGCAGTTCCGAACAGCAGTTTTCTAAAGGAGTCTCATAGCACAGTGAGTCTCACAGATGGCCACTCATGCCCCTAAGCAAATCAACCAGGCAGAGTGCAACACCCCAGACCCCACCAAGGCTCACAGAATATTCCTGGTGAGTGTTGAGTAAGTAAATATGCACCAGCCCCAATCTCACCTTGTTTCCATGGACCTAGGGCCTCAGATTAAAATAAAATGAGGATCTACAACTCCTCTCTGGTCCAGGCGGTCTTCACACCTTTTGAGTAGTCTTTGTCTTGAACAGCTACTCTGAGTTCCAGATGCTCTTTAACTGCTCTCTGAAATATCTCACACCCTAACAAGCCAAAATAAGTGTTTGTTTGTGTTTATCTGCAATGAACATGAACACTCCCACTATGAATGTCTTTATCCAGGATGATGGTGCTTCCATATCCCCAGGTGCTCAATACAAACCTTCATCTCATCTCTGACTCATATCTCTCTCTCAACTTCAAAATTAGAATATCCAGGTGGCCAAACTTAAAATACCAATCCCGATCCAACTGTGTCTTCCCTCTCCACAGCCACCATCAGGGGCCAGTTCCCATCACACACTCCCAGACCAGTGGTGGGCAAACCGGGGCTTGGGAGCCACATGCGGTTCTTTGGCCCCTTGAGTGTGGCTCTTCCACAAAATACCACATGCCGGCGCGCACGTACAGTGCGATTGAAACGCCTTGGCCCTTGTGCAGAAGTCAGTTTTCAACCTGGGCTAGTCTATATTGAAGAAGTGGTGTTAGAAAAACTGGGGGGTGTCAGTAGGATGGGTGATGGGAGACACGGCGCAGGCAGGGGGGCCAAAGGATATGCAGCACAGGGGAGGCACATGATTCATGCACGAGTTGAGGATGGATGAGTTGGTAGGGGTTGACCTCAGCGAATGTACCTCAGTCAGATTGAGGACATTTTTGGTAAAGGGCAGTTTAGGAGTACCCTAATCAAGTTAATAACAATATACCTACTATATAGTTTAAGTTTTAAAAATTTGGCTTTCAAAAGAAATTTCAATCGTTGTTCTGTAGATATTTGGCTCTGTTGACTAAGGAGTTTGCCTACCACTGTCCCAGATGATCACACCACCTCCCTCTCACACATATTGTTCTCCATGCAGCAGCCACAGGGCGTCTAATGAAACCTGATTCAGATCACCTGCCTCCACTGCTCCAAATCTCCCATTGGCCCCATCACCTGCAGAACAGACAACCGTGTTCTCACAAAGCTCCTCTACACCTGACTCCGCTCCCATTCTTACCTGTTCCCATCAAAGAGAAAAGCATTCCTGCAGGTTCCTGAACCAGCTGTCTTCACTCTGAGCCTCTACCACATGAGAAACCTGTGCCTGGAAGGACCTCACACATCTCATTCCACTGTTTGCCAGAAAAACATGGACAACTTCACACAGCCCTAGTCATGGACTTAGGATTTGTGTCTCTTTTTATGTCCCTATGTCCCAGGGCAGGAAGAGAGGCTGGACAGCCCCAGGACCCCACTGTCTCAGAGGCTACAAGAGTCTGAGGCCCTGACATCAGCCCCATAGCCCAGTCCCCTCAGCGGCTCCTCACCTGTGGGAACTAAAGGTCTGCTGAGGGCCTGGCACCCACCCCAGGAAGCAGGGACTCAGGCTGCTCAGGGCCCTGGCCCTGCCTTGGTGCTGGGTGATGCCTGCATTCCTCCAGGGCCCGGTCCTCAGTGCACACTCTTGTCAAGTTCCTTATCTTTCAAAGGACTCCTCCTTCCCACCCCTAACTGCTCTCCTCTCCCTTTTAAGGTGAGATTGTTATCAGCAGTTTGGAGAAATGTTTAGAACCCTACCTCAGACAACGTCCCTCTGCTGTTCACAACCACCCATGGCCCCAGCGTCCTGAGGATGAAAGTAAAACTCCTCACACAAAACTTTGCCTCATCTCCTTTGTTGCCTTTAAACACAAAACAGACCTCGGTTTCCTGAGTCCTCACAGCTCAGCCACAGCCCCACGGCCTGACTGAGCGGCATTGCAGCCCGTCACCCTCTTTCACCCAGTCACATGCTGTGTCACCTACAAGCTACTCACTGTTCTGGGTGCTGGGACGCGAGCTGCAGGACCTGACAGCGTGGTAGGTGGAGGGTAAATGGGGTGAGGCTGAGTTGACCTCAGTGAGCAGAGAGGAGTCTGGGAAGCATGGAGACCGCAATCCCGCCTGCTGCAGGTCAACAAGCCTCAGACACTCCCTGCACAGCGGGGACGCTGACTCTGATGACTCGTCCTAGTCCTGATGCTGCCCGTTGGTCCCTCTGATTATGTCGATAGAACCAGGAGGTGAAAATGACCACCTGGAGGACTAATCTGGGAGTCAGGCCCAAACCAATGACCGCCAGGCTCATGCGCCTCTCCTGGGCTTTCATTGGCTAAACACAGCCATCATTAGGCGCATTGCCCTTTGGGTAAGGAACTTTCCAGGCCCCGCAGGTGGCATTAGGATCCCAGTCACTCGCTGGCCATTGAGAATATTGCTGTTGGGGCGCCGGAATGGCTGTGGGAAATGACAACCTTAGGTTTTGGTGGCTGGTGGCAGGGTTATGGGGAGTGTTATCTGCAACTGAGCTCTTATTTGGAGATATTATTTCAGACAGGCTTCACTCCCAGCACATTTCATTGGTCAGAGAACATCACAGGCTGAAGTCAAACTCAGGTGGTCAGGAGGAGAACCTGACATACTTACTCGTTGGGCCCCATTAACATGCCCACGTGGTGCCCGCCTCTTGTCCAGGACTGTGCAGTGCCAAGGAGAGGAGCGGGGATGGGTCGGAAATGACAGTGGGAGTCCATCAGGATGGGTCCCTGTCTCCTCATCCAGGTGGACCGTGTCCCCTGGTTGCCCTAAACCACTGGTTCTCAACCTTCTGGGCCTTTCAATACAGTTCCACATGTTGTGACCCAACCACAACATTATTTTCATTGCTACATCATAACTGTAATGTTGCTACTGTTATGAATCATCATGTAAATATCTGATATGCAGGATGGTCTTAGGCGACCCCTGTGAAAGGGTCGTTTGACTGTCATAGGGGTCGCGACCCAGAGGTTGAGAACCGCAGCCCTAAACCATCACTGGCATCTTCCAAAGCAGTGAACCTCAGAAAAGGAGTTTGGGCAGATGGCATTGCAGCAAACTCTGAACCCACTTCTGAGTGTGACCCTGGGTTAATCCCTGGCTGCCTTGGGTCCCACACTCGGGTG